TATTCGCAACAATGGTTATCATATTGAGACAATCAATGAAGAAAATAAGAATTCCTTCAAATCACAAATATAACTCAAGGCACAAAACATGTTTTGGAGAAACTCCCTACATTCTCCAGTGGTTTGTACTACACAAAAATCAATACTATTGAAACTCATGCTATAGTAAACCAGAAGTTTACTGATAATTTTGTTGTTTGGCATGACCGGTTAGGCCATCCCGGTTCAATAATGATGCGAAAAATAATTACGAATTCATGTGGACATTCTTTGAAGAGCCAGTAGATTCTTCATAATAATTTTTCATGTGCTGCTTGCTCAGAAGGCAAGTTAATAATTCGCCCATCACCAGCTAAAAATAATTTTGAATCAATTAGTTTTCTGAAACGTATACAAGGAGATATTTGTGGGCCCATACATCCCCATGTGGACCATTTAGATATTTTATGGTTTTAATTGATGCATCAACTAGATGGTCACATGTGTCCTTGTTGTCAACTCGTAACCTGGCGTTTGCGAGATTACTTGCCCAATTGATTAAGTTATGGGCACATTTTCTAGATACTCCTATTAAGACTATTCGACTTGATAATGCTGGTGAATTTACATCTCCATTTTTCAATGATTATTGTATGTCCATTGGGATAAATGTTGAACATCCTGTAGCTCATGTTCATACACAAAACGGTTTGGTCGAGTCATTAATTAAACGTCTTCAATTAATTGCTAGACCATTGCTCATGAAATCCAATCTCCTAATTTCTGCTTGGGGACATGCTATATTACATGCAGCAGCACTAATTTGCATTAGGCCAACAAGTTATCATAAGTTCTCCCCATTACAATTAGTTTATGGTCAGGAACCAAATGTTTCCCATCTAAGAATTTTTGGATGTGCGGTTTATATTCCGATAACTCCACCACAACACTCTAAGATGGGTCCTCAAAGGAGGTTGGGAATATATGTTGGGTTTGAATCCCCATCAATAATTAAATATCTTGAGCCTACAACAGGGGATTTATTTACGGCTCGTTTTGCAGATTGTCATTTTAACGAGTCACTTTTCCCAACATTAGGGGGAGAAAAGAGAGAGCTGGAAAAAGAAATTAAATGGAATGAATTATCATTATCTTATCTTGATCCTCGAACTAAACAATGTGAACTAGAAGTTTAAAAGATAATTCATTTACAAAGTTTAGGAAATTAATTGCCAGACTCGTTTGCTGACCCAAAAAGAGTGACCAAGTCACATATTCCAGCTGTAAATGCTCCATTTAAAATAGATGTCCCGGAAGGACAAAATAAATTTTCTAATGAGTTTAAACCACGTCAGAAACGTGGAAGACCAATAGGTTCCAAAGATAAGAATCCTCGGAAAAGAAAAGGAGCATTGATTGATGATGGTCAAATTGAAGAAACAAATTTCGAAGGATCTCCAGAAAATAATTTAGACATGATACAAGAAGAAATTCAGGTGCCTGATAATGAAGAAATTTCAACAAATTATATCATGTCTGGAATTACATGAAACCGAAATCAAATTGACATCGATGATGTTTTTGCATGCAATATAGCATTAGATGTTATGGATAATAATGAGGATCATGAACCAAAATCCATTGAAGAATGTAGACAAAGAAATGATTGGCCAAAATGGAAAGAAGCAATTGAAGCAGAATTAAAATCTCTTGGAAAAAGAGAAGTATTCGGACCTGTAGTTCGTACACCTGAAGGTGTAAAGCCAGTGGGACATAATTGAGTCTTTTTGCGAAAGAGAAATGAAAAGGGTGAAGTTGTAAGATATAAGGCACGCTTAGTTGCACAAGGATTCTCACAAAGACTTGGTATTGATTATGAGGAGACATATTCTCCTGTGGTGGATGCAACTACTTTTAGATTTTTGATTAGTCTGGCAATAAGAGAAGGACTTGACTTACGTTTGATGGATGTAGTCACAGCTTACTTATATGGCCCACTGGATAATGACGTTTACATGAAGCTCCCAGAAGGATTCAAGCTGCTAGAAGCAGCAAAATCTAGTTCTCGAGAACATTTCTGTATTAAATTGAACAAATCTCTTTATGGATTAAAACAATCTGGGCGTATGTGGTATAACCGTCTAAGTGAGTATTTGTTAAAGGAAGGTTATAAGAATGATCCTATTAGCCCATATATTTTTATAAAGAAATTTGGATCAGGATTTGTTATAATTGCGGTGTATGTTGATGATTTGAATATCATTGGAACTCCTGAAGAGATTTCAGTGACTGTCAATTATTTAAAGAAAGAGTTCGAAATGAAAGATCTTGGAAAGACAAAATTCTGCTTGGGGTTACAAATAGAGCTCCTAGAGAATGGAATCCTTGTGCATCAATCAAAATACATAGAAAAGGTTCTTAAAAGATTTTCTATGGATACAACACATCCATTTAGCAGCCCTATGGTTGTAAGATCACTTGAAGTAGAGAAAGATCCATTCCGACCTCAGGAAAATGATGAAGAAATTCTTGGTCCTGAAGTACCATGTCTTAGTGAAATTAGAGCACTAATGTATCTTGCAAGTCATACACGACCCGACATATCATTTTCAGTTAATTTATTAGCAAGGTTTAGTTCATGTCCAACTCGGAGGCATTGGAATGGGATTAAACACTTACTTCGTTATCTTCAAGGTACGAAGGATATGGGTTTATTTTTCCCAAAGTTTTCCAAAGAAAATTTGATTGGTTTTGCAGATGCAGGTTATTTATCTGATCCTCGTAATGGTCGATCACAAACTGGATAAGTGTTCATGTATGGTGGTACTGCCATTTCTTGGCATTCCATGAAACAAACCATTGCAGCTACTTCTTCCAATCATTCTGAGATTTTAGCAATTCACGAGGCTAGTCGTGAATGTGTATGGTTAAGGTCGGTAATTCAACACATAAAAGAAGCTTGTGGTTTATCATCTGGGAAAGAGGCACCGGCAACTCTATATGAGGATAATGCAGCAGGTATTGCTCAACTTAAGGAAGGATATATCAAAGGTGAAAGAACAAAGCACATCTTACCCAAATTTTTCTTCACTCATGATCTTCAGAAGAATGGAGACATAAAAGTATTGTAGATTCGTTCAAGTGAAAATTTAGCAGACTTATTCACTAAGGCTCTTCCGATAGCAACATTTAAAAAGTTTGTTTATCGTATTGGATTGCGTCGTCTCAAAGATCTTCAGTGATATAATAATGAGGGGGAGTAATTGCGCGCTGCACTCTTTTTCCCTTATCCATGGTTTTTTTCCCACAGGGTTTTTCCTGGAAAAGTTTTTAATGAGGCAACATATATGCGCATTAAATATATTTTAGATAATGCCCATCCAAGGGGGGAGTGTTATAAAATGTGTTAATGGATGGTCATTATAGCTTATAACTATCCCTTTTATGACTATCTTAAATGTGGTTGTAATAGCATCCTTGTAATCCTTCTTTGTCATTAGTTCACATTAACCCTCTCATGAATGGACTCTTCATTGTCCATATAGGTTACAATGTTCTATCATGTATATATATAGGTGACTCATGAAATGGATTAATATAGACAATTCAATTACCATCTATATCACTCTCAAATCTTCTCCCTTTTCCCCTTATTTTATAATACAAAGTTCATTATAATTTTTTTTTATTTTGAGGGAAAGTTCATTATTACTTAAAATATAAGTACATTGGTATCAAAGTTTTATGGGAAGCGAAAAGGTGAAGAGTGTATGGTTCTTACATTATTATACTCCCTTCGTTTTCTTCTATTTGCAATAAATACACCCTTATGACACACACTTTGAGGAAGAAATTTAATAAATTTGATGGACAAATTAAATTAATTAAAATAATTTACACACGTTATACTTATCTCTTCTTTATTCCCAATATTAAAATTATTTTGATAAATTCGTTTATTTACTCATTTTAATACCTTCTAAAAATATGTGTTCAGAAGCTATACTGCAAAAAAAAAATTAAAAAAGGTATTTGATATTGCAATCATGGCCTTCTTATCTCAAAAATAATTAAAATATATTGCCCTACTTATTCAAAAATTTGTGATGTAGCCAGTGGTGATTCTAATATGGCTTCTGCTGAACCCATACTGAATCCTGAAAAAATTTGATCAGTTTAATTAAAAAATTAATATAGCTTACATACATTACAATGCGCTATTTTATATTGCTTTCTCCTGCAGCCCAGTGGTAGTTACTAGGAATATCTTTACATTGGTCGTGGGTTTGAAACCCGCAGCACCCATTATTTGCTTTTGGCCTTTTACTTATCTGATGGTTGATAATCCTCATACCCAAAATTATTTTCTTCCTTCGAACGGTAAAATATGTAGACTCTTAATCAAAAAAAAAAAATGTACACTCGATGAGCTCAATTGTAATTAAAATTGTGTTTTTATGTTTGTGCCCACCCAAATTATTAATTTTATTTGTATTTTAAATTATGGTACTTGATATCATTATATGTATTTAGACTCTGAACCCATAACGCAAAATTCTTGGAATCGCCACTGGATGTAGCTGCATTTGTAAACCACTTTGTAATTAGTTGTTTAATTTGTAAGAAAATAACTTAATAGTGAAATGGGGGTTTATTATTCAATACTACTTATCAAGTTATCGCTTTGGGGAATGGGGGATATGTTTAAGAATATAACTCAATGTAAACTTAATAAACACTTACTCTTTCACATATACATTTTATTATTAAGAAGTGAATTTCCGTACGTGCTGGTCCAACTTATTATGGTTATGGCTGTTAGTTGAACCTCAAGCTCGAACTTGGTTAGGATTAAATCGTGATTGATGTACAACATTGCGTAGTACTAAAAAAAGCAACAAGACTTTATATTACTTGACAAAGGAGAGTACATTTAGACGACATGCTTATTAACATTACATAGAAGCTAATATATCATGCATGCATGTCAATCACAACACAAACTAGATAGCTTCATCTACTTAGTTGTTGATTTCTTCTTTTGGTGGGTGACGACCGCCATATCCACTGTGCCCGTACCCACCATGTCCATAGCCACCTTGGCCGTAACCAACCCTAGATCCACCATACCCACCTTGACCATATACACCCCTAGAGCCACCATACCCACCCCTTGAACCACCGTACCCACCTTGGCCGTATCCTCCACGACCATACCCACCTTGGCCGTAACCACCACGACCATAACCCTCTGGCTCTACATCCTCTTGTACATCCATCTCTTCTTCTTCTGGTGGGTAGTGGCCACCATGTCCACCGTGTCCATAACCACCACCGTGGTTGTATCCTCCATGGCCATATCCCCCATGTCCATAACCACCATGTCCTTGTCCGTAACCACCATGACCGTATCCGTCCAACTCCTTTGGCTCTTCAGTGGATTCTGCTAACACCAAAAGCAAAACAAAAAAAACATATAGGGGGTGTTTGGTATCAAATTAGTAATTGTAAGGGAATGGAAACAAATTAGGAGGGGAAAGGGTAATATATAGTGTTACCCTTACTACTTGTTTGGTATTACTAAGGAAACGTAAACAATGATAACCAATCCCTTTCTTCTTGTTTGACATAGATAACTTGGAAACAAATACCTTTCCTTCTATTTTTTGTTATCTTGGCTAACTTTTGCTAAACATTATACAATGTAGAGCAACACTAATTACCATAAAATATATATATATATATATATATATATATATATATATATATATATTTTGAACCGATTACCATAATATATCATATGCTAGATATAGGCAAAGTCACATAAATTGTTGATTACAAAAGCATTGAAATTCTAGTATTCTAAAAAAAAAAAATTATATAAAAAAAAACATTCAAAAACCATTGAAACATTAACTCCAATAACAACTTAGGACAAAACTTTCTACTTCTTCTTAAGAAGATCAATTGCATATTGTTTCTTCATATTAGTTGGGGCTTGATAGAAGAAGTGAAGCTTATGTTCTTCGGCCATGAGAATTGTAGCAACCTCCAAAGCTTCGGATGGAGAAATTCCATCTAACTTCATCACCTCATCCAAAACCTTGTTCACTTTTTCATCTATTATTTGCTCTCTTTCTTCCGCTTTAGACCATGCACTAGCCATAGTCCCAAGATTAACATTGATATTTTCAAATATCTTCCCAAAATTGTTAGATACATCATGGAGGGAGGCCACCAAATCATCATCATCATTCCTACACAAACTCTTCAAAACTACTTTGTTCTTTCCCTTCACCTTAGCCTCCTTTGCCTTTGTAAAACGTTTTCCGGATTGAGTAGTGGAATCACTTGCGGAAGAATGAATCGTAGAAGCCTTCACTTTTGCCATTTTTGAAGGAGTTGAATGATCATCCTCTATCTTCCATTTTCTAGATTGACTTGTAGAAGAATAAGTGTCCGAATGAGTAGAATTCACATCATCTTCTTCATCACTCTCGACATTCAATGGTTGCTTATCAATCTCTTGATCCAAATCTTCTATAGCATCAACAAACGACTCATTTGCATCTCCGGTAGCTTTGTCTTTTGCATAAATTTCTGCTAGAGTGTCATAATGAACGAATGGAACTCCAAACAACCCCTTACCCCTTAGCTTTCTTATGAGTCTGCCATATAAGAGATAAAAAAATTAAATTAAAATTTTTTATGCATATACTAGACCTTCAATTCTGCTAAAATTTCTGATCTAAACTATCTTTTTAAAATTCTGACATAAACAGGGATAAATTGAAGTAGTTTAAATTAGATGAACAGATGCAGCATCAACACTGATTTCCGTGCTACTATGAACCTATGAATCAATAAACGTCAGAACTGTTCAATAATGACATGCAAGGGTACCCTTTAAGAAAAAATATTTCCAGCATTTGGATCTCTTTATTAACATTTCATTCGAGTCATTAACTCCACTCATGTCAAATAACATTGCAACTAATACAATTTGCAAGTAACAAAACTACAGTAAAATACTGCAGTCCTCCTTGATACAGCAAGTCTCTTCATGAGTTAATAATTAAGTACCAGATTTCAAGCATAAGCTAGCTAGCTGAATGAATCAATTGAAAGTCAAATTACTTCATTTTCAATACAATATAAAGGAGGCATTAATGTAATAAAAATAAATTGGTAAAATTTTTAATGAGCAAAATTTTCTCATTAAAGTATCCCCTTTCTACTCAGTTTCCAATTTGAAGTGTTTTTCCCCTTCTCCCCTATTCTATATTTATGTTCTTGGAAAACACCTTTTACCATTTGATTAACCCTAGTTATCCCCTTACCACATAATACATACACATAACACATTTGTAATCTCTTACTCTATCCAACTTTTCTTCCATCCACCCACCTATTTACTCCATCTATCTTTCTATCTTACATTATCATCCATTTTTACACCCATTCACCTTTCTCAGTATTACCTATGTAAAAAGAATCTACGATAAGAGGAGAAAAAAAAAATATATCGGAAGGTGTATATCTAATCCAGTTGTTGAGAAAATCAGTAAAATCAGTCTTGAGCTGTAAACTCATTAAAAATTCAGGTAATGAGAGAATATATAAGGCATAATGTAAGGGGGATGCAGCAAGGTAGCAACAAAATATACATTGACTACAGAAGCAGTTAATACAGAAGCAGTTACCACAGAAGCAGATAATACAGAAGCTGATACTACAGAAGCAGATACCACAGAAGCAGTTCATACCTTTACCCATCCGTCGAACACCGACTTATCAACTTGTAGAATCTTCTCAGCATCCCATCCAAATCCTGAGGTGGATAACATTTCCGCCAATGCACTATATTTCTCCGACCAATGCTTGATCCTTGACTCAATGTGGGGAACCGCTCTCAAGCCGCAATTAGGAAGTACACGATTGATCATCTCTTCCAACTTATTCATGTAACCATTCTTAAACCCATTCTCACACTTCCACTTCGGATCACAACTCAACTCATGCAAATATCTTATTAGAACCGCGTCTTCTTCATACGTCCAATACCTTTTATTTTTGCCTCTTCCTCGATTGCTTGCCTCACCCTTAGCTTGACTAGCCTCCATCTACAAAAAAAAATTAGGTTAAAAGGCACATTAGAACTCAACATAACAAATTACAAGGCTAATTACAATAGAACATATCATACATAACAGATTATAAGGCATATTTGAACTGAACAGAACATAACATATTATAAGGCATATCATACTTTTTGTGTTATTGACCATGTCTACCTCTCGCCCTCCAATCGTTAAACATATCTTGGGCTAATGTGTTTCTAAAATTGGTCCAATGATCTGAAGTAGCAACACTTGTAATAAACTCCCTCTCATCATCAGAATCACTCTCGGAATCATCATCGGATTCACTCAATTCATCTTCTTTTATATCATCCGTAGGCATGAATTTTCTAATTAGATTATGCAATAAGCAACAAGCCATCACGATACGTCCATGAGTTAGAATAGGGAAAAATGAAGGACTTCTAAGTATACTCCATCTTCCTTTAAGTAGGCCAAAACATCTTTCAATCACATTTCGCGCCCTAGCATGTTTCATGTTATAGAATTCCTCGGCACTTTCAGGTTGTCGATCCGTCCATTCTTTTAAATGGTATCTTTGACCTCTATATGGAGCAAGAAAACCCTCACAATTCGTATACCCCGCATCAGCCAAATAATAATTACCTTCAAAGTTATTAAACAAAATGATTACTACCTACCAAAACTAACAAAACATATATAACTCACAAAAAAAAAAAGACCTTCACTTACCTCGAGGTACCCTAAAACCGTTTGGTCTAGAAAGAGCATTTCTAAGTACACGCATATCATGGGCCGAACCTTCCCAACCAGGAAGAACATAAATAAATTGCATATTAGGTGCACAAACACCCAATACATTCATAGCAATTGTTCCTTTTCTTGTTCTATACTTTGTTCGTTCTTGTGAAGGCACATTTACATTAATGTAAGTCCCATCTAATGCCCCTAAACAATTCTGCAAAAATAGGAAAAAATATTACTTACAAACAAGCAAAAGTAAGAAAATCCTAGCAAAACGTAGGGGCTTTGAAAATACCAATACCTTGAATGATTTCCACCTTTCATCTTCACAATCATCCGATATTAGTGTGGGATTGTAAAGTAGTACTTCATGCAACTTGAGAAAAGCCCTTAGACAAAGGTGAAATTGTCGGCTCACGGTTTCTCCACTTCTAAAAAGGTATTGTCCAATAGACCTATTCTTCTTATGATGAGCCAACGTGTATAAAAACATGGCAACTATCTCTTGAAGCGACATGTTTTTTGTTCCACTCAAACCCCCAATGTTTCTAAGCATCTCACAAATAATATTGAAAGTTCTTCTATTAACGCGAAGCTCACTCTTGCATTTCACATCACTCTCCCTATAAAGCCCTCTCAATACTAACATTCGTAACAATTTTTTGTTTCTTTTCCTTTCTTTTATTTGAACCCCCCTTATTGTAACAACGCAAATTATATACCACATCCAATACATCATCAACATAATAATAACCATTGCAATTACTAATTGTATTTGTTTTAGTTTTTTCTTCCTTATAGAACGCATAAGTCGAGCCATTGTACAAGAAACACAACAAATGGAAATTGAACCTGACAAACGGCAAAATTTTCATGATACGTTAGAGAACGAGATGAATGTCACATATTCTATTAGCCAAGATTACAGTCAACTGCATAAAGATTGCGTTACAACACATCGAGAACTTGAGTATGGGATGCTTTCCCAAGGAGATTAGTAATCATGAGCTAGTTTATTTGAATATTTCTCTTATGATTGACTAATAATATTAACTATCTACTCCTTTCCTGCATCTGATTTTCATCAAGCACCCACAGAAGAAGTCATATGGACCAAAGCTGAGGGTCTGTATAATTGGTTTTATTTTTATTTTAGCTTTGGTGTGGTATCTATTGTTAAAGCTGCCTAAATCGTTGCAAAGGGGATATTCTGGCTTACCTAGTGCAAATATGGACTTGTAGTCCCACCACTCAATGTTTCTGTCAAGTCTCAGTCATATTTTTCTTAACCAATCTGAACAATTGGACTATACTTTGATTATGATTTCATGAATTCAAGGGAAGAATATTATTGCAATTGCTTAAGCTTTTAGAAATCATTAGAAGAAATCAAAATTCTAAACAAGAAACTTCCTAATGCACTTAAAATCCAAAAAAATCCCCAACTATACAATCAACCCACCAAAAGTAAACCAAAATCATGGAAAAAATTGGGGGCGTAACACAAAATAACCAGCAAAAAAATGCAGCAGTAGAAATCCTAAGACATCTGTTTGTATTACTAGTAAGCATAAAATCAAATTTGGGGGAAAAGAAGCCAAATAATAATAGCATAAAATCAAAATTTGCAGAACAAAAAAATTAGTAAGTATTATTTCAACAATACTGATAAAAGAAGCCAAATAATAACAGCAAATTATACCATCTAATTTAAGCATAAATCGAAATTTGGGGGAAAACACAAAATATACAACAATTACATGCAATAATAGCTATATATACCA